GGAGATGCCTGTCACCAACTCGGCGGTATATATTTACTCTAAATCTCCCTTACATGTCGGGGTTGCCGCACTGAGTTATCAAAGGAAATTATTCAGATTACATAATAGTAGTATCGATATGATCCAGGAAACGAATATTTCGAGCTTTGAAACAAAGCAGAAGAAAGAAAGAAAAATAATTGGTGTTAAATGCGGACCACACCTGTGGCGAGTGTCGGGTAAGCAGTGTCTATATTTCCCATAGCCATCTGACATTGGCCTACCTGCATACATCTTTCTTTTAGTTTCTTATAAATTGTATGCTAAATGAGAGTTGACTATTTATATGTGTAATATAATTTCATGGAATTTTTGGTGTTGCAAAATTTGAATTTAACAATACTGTCATACCCCTCGAATTATTGCGAAAACTCGTGCTAATTAAACTCACATATATGACAAAGAACAAAGGCTGAAACCAAGTTCTTGAGACCACAGTGTGTATGCTATATGAACCCCCGCCCCCTCACCGTATATGGGGGAGAGGGGTACACGCTCCTTCATCTGGCCGAGTGAGGTCAGTATCGGACTGACCATCAGAGAGAGAGGGCGGACAATTTCCTCTATACTTAAAGTGTGCTGCCAGCGTTCAGTTACAAACTCAAGGAACCGGAGAAATTTGAAAAAAACTGCCACTGGCAAGAATATATTTTTCAAAATGTGGTTGTGGAACATTTGCCTTCTGTTCGGTGTCCTCGCGGCGAGAAAAACAGCGGGAGTTGTGTCCCTGCCTCAGTCAGAGGGCACGGAAATTGACGTCACGTTCTTCCCGGGGCTCACCGACCAATACGAAGACGCTGTGAGTTTTGGAGAATGGCACCGCTTCCTCGAGGAGGAGAAGAAGGAGGTCGAAAGAGAGGAGGAGGTAATCGTAAGACTTCTCCAAGAGGAACACAATCTAAATCTTGATGAACCTATTGAATTCACGACACAGAAAAGAGTGATGAAACAATTTAGTGACCTAAAGAAACGACAGCCCAGTCTGGACTACCTCTCCAGCCGCCACAAACAGAAAGGTAGTTATGTCACGGTGCAAGAAATTGAGGAAGACCTTCTAGGACCTACAGCTGACGAAGTTAGCCTTGAAACACTGCAGGAACTTAAGCCGTCGGATATTGTGTTACTCGAGCCTGAGAAGCAAAAATATGTAGCTTATGATGTGGTCCGCGATGCTGCAATGACCACTGGCAAAGCCGGTGGCCACAGACCCTCAAGTGACCAGCAGGAACGGATCAAGGACCTCGAATATGCCTTCGAACACCCGAAGATCGACGCCATTCCCGACTCAACGATCAGCAGACTCCTCTCTGTCACACCACCAGGCGAGCGCGAAACTCAGAGAAGTATAAGGCATCACCAGCAGGAGCGCCACCACCACGCCATGCGACACAACACAGCGGGCCACCCCGAAAAGAAAAACAAAATCGGGGATCACAAGGAGAGGCAACAGTTCTTATTCCACCGCTTGCTGGAGAAACAGCGGCTTATCTCTCCCGAGGACTTGACATTCCTCCTAGAGAGTGACCAGGAGGCCAGGGTAGATAAGAGGAACCAGGCACCAGTGGAGGGCACTTCTCATAGGAGGGAAAGCCTGGAGGACTGGGAGGAAGATTATGAATATGATGCTTAGTAGAACATTTTTCCTACTGAAATCTTGGAAGTATTTACCTTTTGGTAAACAATTTACATACAAGGTATTCCCGCAGCTTTGTACAATGTGTAATTTTCACTGATGTGACATTAAATGATAAGATAGTCTTTTGTAATTAAACATATGATCTGACTGTACAGTGTGTAAAATAATAACAAATAGCAAGAAGCAATAAGTGTTTGCATATACCAATAACAAAAAAAAGGGAAAAAAATGTGTATGATATATATATATATATATCTATATATCTATCTATATCTATATCTATATCTATATCTATATCTATATCTATATCTATATCTATATCTATATCTATATCTATATCTATATCTATATCTATATCTATATCTATATCTATATCTATATCTATATATATATATATATATATATATATATATATATATATATAATCAAATTAAAACCCACATTTTCTTCAAGCAGAGTCATGGATATCATACTACTAAATAATGACAATGAACTATTACAAAGTGAAATGCTTAAGCACACTTTGAGAATCAGGTAAACTTTTTGAATTATATAGGGAATGAATGATACTGATCAAGAAAAGACTGTGATAAAACTGTGATACTATTCATACAAGATATGATGTAAACATCATGAAGGCAGCGGATTATAATGAAATATTTTAAAGAAAGCATATACATGCTGTTAATCAAAACTTTAGCAGTAAAACTTTTTATACCTATCAGGTTTACAAACTAGACTGTGTAGTACTTCTTATATGAGAATATAAAGATTAACAAACAATCATATTGATAAAAGAAACAAGATTGATAATGATACCAGAAG